ATATTATATATGCTTGCAGGATTAGGCTTAATTAATCCGCATCTCATCCAATTTATCCATGTCGACCCTAAAAAAGCTAATGTGAGAAAAATTATTGAAGAGAGAGTCGTCACTACTATTGTATTGTTTAGATTTCTAAAACTCGTAAAATCGTTCTATCTTAAATGTAAACATAGTTCCTTGAATTGAGAACAACCAGGTAATTGTGTGTTTTTTTATTTTTTTACTTTTTGCTTCATTTTTTGTGTGTTTTGGTCTTATTTTTCAACAATTAAATATCACTTTTATAACTTAAAATTCATTTTCACTTTACATAATGATATATAGAGTGAAAATAAAAATAATTAATAATTAATAATTAATACAACAATAATACAATTGCTAATCCAGTTATCCATGTGAACCCTCAAGCTTATTATAAAATCTGATAAAAAAAAGTGGTTTGAATTGTATACGAAAAAAAAAAAAAAAATTATTAGTACACAAAACAATGTCCAAAAATAATATCACAACAAAAACAAATAAAAATAATTAATAACATCATCAATAATGCCATTCATTATGCAATAAACCAGCCTCGAAAGGCACTGTTGCAGGCAACCAAGACTTTCCATGGATGATTTTGACACAGTGAAGTTCCTTGCAGTTTCCTGTTTTATTTATCACATGGTAACCTGCCCATGTAACCTTCCTGTTGTGTTTGATCCAGGGCCTGTGTTGTTGTATTCTGCATAATATGAAGTGTTTAATGCTAATCTCCTGACCATTCTTTCCACCCAACAGGCTCATCAGGCTGCCGTAAACGACTGCATATAACAGTTCTTGAATACTGCTTCCAGGGCTTCCCAAGTAAGTTTTGACTGAATAATTACTGGGACTAAATCACCGGCCGGCATTATGGTACAATTATGGATTGAAATGCCTGTGTTTTGGTTCGGATCGGTTCTACCCTGTGCAGTAATGGCATTGAATTGATTTTCCAACGGGCGTCGCGGATATATTTGCAGTTCTGGAAGACGACAGCTGCATACCGAAAATGAAATCAACTGTGCCTATATATCGCATCTCTGTAGAATTGCCTGAGGGAATGTGTGTATGGTGTCTTGGTAGCCTTCAAAACTCGCAGCTGTAGAATGTCGACATGTCTGCCCCATTTCGGACGGCGACTGCCTGGTGCTGATTCCCCGGCTGTGTTCTTAAATGTTATGTTCACTGCAACAAAGCCTTGCCAACGACAGCTGCAATTGGAATAATTTTTCTTTATCAATTGAAGCTGGAAGTCGATGTAATCTATTGGGCTTTAAGTTGTATATGAATGGCGAAGCCCAAATAGGGACAGACTCAGAATTTTATGACAGATAAACTCTGAAGTGGGTAATCACCCCCACTCGCCTTCGCCTTAACCCAACATCACCTTCAACCTACGAGTTTATATATATATATATATAAAACTGGAAAGAATCTATTTAGCTTTGAACTTACCAAATGTTGCAGAGTTGAAGGTAGTCCACCCATCAATGACACTTTATTATGCCTTAATCACAGTTTGTTGATGCCATCTCCAATCATCATCACGTACTCTTGTTCTTGGCAATGGGACACACTCTTCGTAAACCCCAGCAACCACGTAAATCAAATAGAATCCATAACTCCTCTTAGTATTATTCGGAGCTGCGCCACTGCGTCATTAATGGTCACAAAATCTCCATATCCATATTTACTCACACCCACAGTTTTGTTCACAACAACACGGTTCTCCTCACTTTGAGACAGCTTTCTTCCACTTCAGACTCGTAAATTTCTTGATCCCTCCCTGACATTCTCAAAGGCAATCCATCTTTCATATCATTCTTGAAAATGTGCTTTCTTTCAGCTAACCATCTGCCTTTCAATATTGAGCTATGAACCCAACATGGCTGAAGAGCGCCAGAGAAATACTGTAAAATTTTGCTCCATCAACAAGAGATGGCAGAAGAGCGTTCTTCACTGTTGAAGCCTGATCATTTTCCATAATTAATTGCAATTTTAGTCAAACCGAAAATCCCTTATCCACCATATTGATCAATGCACACAAAAAATGTGGTAATTAAGGCAAGAGATACTATCAATTAAGTTAATATAAGTGACAAAGAAAAATATATCAATGATTGCCCATGAAAAAATAAATTATAAAAATTTACATGGGTCATAACTGGGAGTCACAAAAAGTCCATCGGGTCGGGCTAGGCATTACCCGACATCCCTACAACGAGCTTGACCCGGGTCCAAGCCAAGGTCATGGGGTCAAGCCTACGCCCGAGCCAAGGGGTACCCGGTCCTGGCATGGCCCACTGTCATCTCTACTTTCTTTCACAACTTAACGTGGCAGCTCGCAATGAGTCTCGCCTACCCCGCAATAGGTCTCCTCTGCCCCATTGTAAACTGTTACGTCGACGTTGTAAGAAAAAATTTGTAAGATTGGGTTGTGAATCAATCTTTATTGGTTTAAGATTTACAATATATTATGTGTCCAAATCAAACTTCTCTCTTTCTATAATATTTTTACTATTTATTTAGTAATAAATAATTAACCACACATATATTCAATTAATATGTACGTTTACTCTCAACATTAATTTCACATGCGCTATATAATTAATCACCTAATTATATGATCTCCTTCCATAATTAAAAATAAAATTCAAAATTAATTAAATACAACATCTCTTGTGATTTCATAATTTCATTCCATAATTGAAAATGTAATACTCCAATAAATATAACATCTCTTTTCATGTACCTTTTCAAACTCAAATCTCCATGCCCATGGCAACCCTAATTTCTTCCAAATTACCATCCCCGTCAGAAGAAGTTGTTGATGAATCAAACCAACCCCAATCAGATTTAGATTTTAATCTCTTGTTTAACCAAAAGGTTACTGCTAATGAAGATCATTCAATTACTGGTGGTGCTGAAGAAGTTGAACTCAAACTTTTTAGCAGAAAGCAACCCAGAAAAAGAGGTTTCTCATGCAACTTCTGCAACAAATTTTTTCCTACGTCACAAGCCCTGGGAGGACATCAAAACGCGCATAAACAAGAGCGGGCAATTGCAAAACGACGTAAGGATCAGACGAAGATGGGATTGGAGACTCTAGGTCATCGTTTCTCTTATTATCCTTATAGTAATTCAAGTTTTACTCGTCATCAGATCCCTCTTTATGGATCTTACAATAATAGATCATCACCACTTGGGGTCAGTGTGCACTCTCATATGATTCGAAAGCCCGCCGTGGCTGCTTTTCCGTTGGTGTCACTCCGAGATCGGTTCGGTCATGGCGAAGGCTTGATGAATTCATCAAGGCTAGCTAATTATTATGATGACAAACTCAGGCTATTGCAGCAGGCTCACAAGAGTCCATTACAAAGTGATCGTGATCAAGATGATTCACTAGGACTAGATTGTCTCTTAAGCTTTAGATAATTGTATAATCATGTTTTAGATTATTCCAAGTATTATGGTTATTGTTAAGGGTTAATTTCTTTGAATAATTAATTAACTCTCCCCTGTTAATTCTTTAATATATTATGGTTAATTGGTATCAATGTTGGATAGATTAATACTTGGCTTACGGATTATCGGCTATGCTGATGTACTCGGGTCTATTAATACATATGTAATAAGAAAAAAAAAAAAAAAAAACTTGTAGTTGTATGTAACCCTTTAGCCACAAGTTATCAATGTTGAATTTGGTTTTCCTTTTATTCAGCAAGGATAATGTTATTACTAATAAATTACAATAAAATGAAAGGAGTTATAATGTTATTTTGAAAAGAAATAATTTCATATATAATCATTTTACTAATTTTAATCTCAAAATTGTCAAAAGATTTCTTAAAGGAAGATCTGGCTTAAACAAAGACTTAATCTAATATCTTAATAAAAAAACCGGAATGCGCTAGACTACACAGTCTAGCATGTCTAGATGGTTTAGTATGCTTTAATTAGACTATAAATCATATTGTTAAACACTATACTCGAGCAAAAAGTTGTCTAGCATAGTCTAGCTTATATTGTAATATGTGATCATTGTGTTTCATTAAGGGTATAATTGGTAATCATTGAATTATGTTGAATCTGTATTTAAATAAAACTTGCACATTTTAGAAAATGGGAATATATAATATCTTAATGAGTAATATAGTATACATTGATATTGAATGGAGTAGATAAGAAGAAATTGGAATATAAAATTTTAAATACAATTTTTACTTATTGAAAAAAAAAGGATATTAAAAAAATATGAAAATGCATTTAGTTAAAATGTGTTCATTAGTTTTTTATATAAAATTCAATGGAATTAATTCAATTCAACCCTACTTTAAATATTTCTCTTACCATTTGATTTTATATACTGTATCTTGCTTATATATTATTAAATAATTAAATATATAATATATATATAATATAATATATATATATATATATATATATATATATAAGCAGGATTAGGCTTAATTAATCCGCATCTCATCCAATTTATCCATTGCGAACCCTAAAAAAGCTAATGTGAGAAAAATTATTGAAAGAGAGAGTCGTCACTACTATTGTATGTTTTAGATTTCTAAAACTGGTAAAATCTCTATCTTAAATGCTAAACATAGTTCCTGAATTGAGACAAACAGGTAAATTGTGGTTTTTTATTTTTTACTTTTTGCTTCATTTTTGTGTGTTTTGGTCTTATTTTTCAACAATTAAATATCACTTTTATAACTTAAAATTCATTTTCACTTTACATAATGATATATAGAGTGAAAATAAAAATAATTAATAATTAATACAACAATAATACATTTTGCTAATCCAATTTATCCATGTGAACCCTCAAGCTTATTATAAAATCTGATAAAAAGAAAGTGTGTTGAATTGTATAAACGAAAAAAAAAAAATTATTAGTACACAAAACAATGTCCAAAAAATAATATCACAACAAAAACAAATAAAAATAATTAATAACATCATCAATAATGCCATTCATTATGCAATAAACCAGCCTCGAAAGGCACTGTTGCAGGCAACCAAGACTTTCCATGGATGAATTTTGACACAGTGAAGTTCCTTGCAGTTTCTGTTTTATTTATCACATGGTAACCTGCCCATGTAACTCTTCCTGTTGTGTTTGATCCAGGGCCTGTGTTGTTGTATTCTGCATAATATGAAGTGTTTAATGCATAATCTCCTGACCATTCTTTCCACCCAACAGGGTGAATCAGGCTGCCGATAAACGACTGCATATAAACAGTTCTTGAATACTGCTTCCAGGGCCTTCCCAAGTAAGTTTTTACTGAATAATTACCGGATACTAAGTCACCGGCCGGCATTATGGTACAATTATGGATTGAAATGCCTGTGTTTTGGTTCGGATCGGTTCTACCCTGTGCAGTAATGGCATTGAATTGATTTTCCAACGGGCGTCGCGGATATAGGTTGCAGTTCTGGAAGACGACAGCTGCATTACCGAAAATGAAATCAACTGTGCCATATATATCGCAGTCTCTGTAGAATTGCCTGAGGGAATTTGTGTATAAGGTGTCTTGGTAGCCTTCAAAACTGCAGCTGTAGAATGTCGACATGTCTGCCCCATTTCGGACGGCGACTGCCTGGTGCTTGATTGCCCCGGCTGTGTTCTTAAATGTTATGTTCACTGCAACAAAGCCTTGCCCAACGACAGCTGCAATTGGAATAATTTTTCTTTGTCAATTGAAGCTGGAAGAGTCGATGTAATCTATTGGGCTATATAGTTGTATATGAAGATGGGCGAAGCCCAAATAGGGACAGACTCAGAATTTTATGACAGATAAACTCTGAAGTGGGTAATCAGCCCCCACTCGCCTTCGTCCTTGAACCCAACATCACCTTCAACCTACGAGTTTATATATATATATATATATATATAAACATGAAATGAATCTATTTAAGCTTTGAACTTACCAAATGTTGCAGAGTTGAAGGTAGTCCACCCATCAATGACACTTTTATTGCCAGTAATCACAGTTTGGTTGATGCCATCTCCAATCATCATCACGTACTTCTTGTTCTTGGCAATGGAGACACACTCTTCGTAAACCCCAGCAACCACGTAAATCAAATAGTATCCATAACTCCTCTTAGTATTATTCGGAGCTGCAGCCACTGCGTCATTAATGGTCACAAAATCTCCATATCCATATTTACTCACAACCACAGTTTTGTTCACAACAACACGGTTCTCGTCACTTTGAGACAGCTTTCTTCCACTTACAGACTCGTAAATTTCTTGATCCCTCACTGACATTCTCAAAGGCAATCCATCTTTCATATCATTCTTGAAAATGTGCTTTCTTTCAGCTAACCATCTGCCTTTCAATATTGAGCTATGAACCCAACCATGGCTGAAGAGCGCCAGAGAAATACTGTAAAATTTTGCTCCATCAACAAGAGATGGCAGAAGAGCGTTCTTCACTGTTGAAGCTGAAGCTATTTCATGAAGACTTTCTAAACAACTTTGATGGTTTGTCAAAGTGGCACTTAACAAAGTCTGAGAATCCTCAGCTTGCAGACCGTCAAGAATGTCTGAGGAATCAATAAATTGAGAAGTATACGTCAAGAAATCGATGTTAAGTGAAGCTAAAAGGCGGCAATCTTCGAGGGCACGACGGTTGGTTGAGTAGGAAGTTGACGGGAGATTGAGAAAGTATTCAACAAAAGAAAGAACCTTTTTAGATTGTGACAAAGACTGGTGCATGAAAATGCGACCAAAATCAAAAATGGTGCCTGTTTTATGGTTTAAAGTTGATTTACAGAGGTCTGGATATGGCGTGAACTTGTTGCAAATGGATTCCGATGAGTCAGAGTAAGAGAAGGATGAAGAATGAGAGAACGAGGATGATGATGAAGAGGGTAACCAGCTGGACAGAGATGGAGAAATGAAGAGAATGAGAAAGAGAAAAAGGGTATGCAAATTCGATGATTTTGAAGCCATATTCATCATGAAAAAATTGACTCAGAAAATAAGTTTTGTATGTAATTAAGCCCTGTATATAAATAAACTTGTTTTGGGCACATGAAACTGATAAATTGTGATCTCATCTTGGGAAGGTTGTGTGAGAAATATTTCTCATTGAAATGGAGAAGAACGTGCTCTGCAATAAGGTTTGACTAACGAAGAATAACTTGATTGCCACCATTATTTTCACGTCTGATTTTTGCTTGGACGGCAAAATCAAACATCACATATTGCAGCCAACAACAGGGAAAGCAACTATTCATTCATGTGGGATCTTTTTCTTTGCGTTAAGTCTTAATTGGGACCGATGTATCACGTTACTTGTATACTTTATTGAATACAAATTTATTGTATACGACTAATTTTCATGATAACGTTTGATAGTTGCAACAGAATATCACGTTAGTCATATATTGTGTTCGATGAAATTGTATTGTATATGTTCTAATTTTTTATTTTTTTTGGGGGTAATCGAGGTATCTGAGTTAGTTTGTGGGCACCTTTCTTTTTGTTTTTTGGTGACCAGGGTGTTCGGGGCTCCGAAGTTAACAGTCGAATAAACCTCCGACTATCTTTATTAGCAATCGAGATGAATCAAACTTAGGATCTCTTGGATAATACTCCAGAAATCCATATTCAACTACTCAACCACTGAAGGGTAGTTTATATGTTCTAATGTTCATGATGGTGTTTAGTTGCAAAAAAAATGAAAAAAGACCGTATATGACAAATCACTTTAGTATTTTACTTTACTGGTTTATTTTTTCCAATGAAAAATTATTCTATACATACCATTTTTTATGATGGTGTTGAACAATTGCATAGAGACCTTTGCTCCTTTCAATATTCTGTTGCCTACAAATCTTTAAAGAACCAAATCAAGACTAGATTCTGGATTCTGATATATATATATACAGCTCAATAAAATCTAATAATTAAGGACGAAGATCTTTTAGAGTTAGTGGGATCCAAGTTTAATTACAGGCCCTTGTACCTAAATCAATATTGGGAAAAAGTCCTGGAATTTAAGGGCCTGAAGTGAGCAATCTGGATTTCAATACGCTTGCAATCTTTAATAAAATCTACAGAAGCATGATGATTGAGCAGAAATTTTTATGTTAAATGATTCACTTTTATTTAACAGTAGTACTACAAACAAATAGGATACCTCTAGTCAAATAAAAATATATATACATCAATACATCGATGAAGGGGCCAAAATGAATCCCCTTGTCAGGCAGGACCGTTTAATTGCCCAAATTTGCTTTGAACTTGATTCCGGTCGCCGGCAACCACGACATGCCATCGATGAACCGGCTGGCAGTGAAGTAGTTTGCAGTGCGAGCATCTTTAATGATGTGATAACCAGGCCATTTGACCCGCCCCGATAGAGATGCACCAGGGCCATAATTCCTATACTCACCATACCACAATGTGTTCAAAGCAAAGTTTCCGTACCACTCAAGCCATCCTCTAGGCTGAACTAAAGCACCCATATAAGTGTTTATAAAAACTGTCCTGGAAAATGGTTTCCAGGGCCTGCCTAAGTAGGTTGGTTGAGATGCCAAAATGTAGCTATCTTGTATCGAAAATCCGGTGTTCTGATTCGGGTTTTTCCTGCCCTGGGCAGTGATTGTGACCTTCTGTAATGGTAAAGGAACTCTGGAGTAAATTTTGCAGTTTTGAAGGACTGCTGCACCGTTGCCAAAAATGAAGTCAATGGTACCATAAATATCGCATTCGCGATAAAATTGTCGGAGAGAGTGAGCATAGAGAGTGTCCTGGTAGCCTTCCATGCTGCACCTGAAGAAGGCAGATTGATCAGAATCAACTCGAAGGGCCACCGCTTGATGGTGTTGGGGTCCTGCAGTGTTGCGAAATGTCATGTCTCTTGCTATAAACCCTCTGCCCGAGACAGCTACAAGCATTAAACACCAAAGCAAAATCGTTACTTACTTTACAAGTAATGGAAATAAACATAACATAACAAGATAAACTTTTGGATAGAATTACGATATCAATTTGGTAACATTACCGAACCAATATTATAGTATGAACCTTAAAAAACCTACATAATTGACCAAAATCAAAGATATATATTTCAGAATTTAGATTTGGGTACATACCAACAGTGGCAGTCCTAAAAGTAGTCCAACCTTGCATGAAATTCCTGTTACCAGTCACCACAGTGGCTCCAATGCCATCTCCAACAAGCATAATGTTGGTTTTCTTCTTCTTCATATCTATGTTCTCATTATAAACTCCCTTCTTCACATAGATAATGTACCTCCTTTTACTATAACCTGGAGCCGCATAAATTGCCTCTGAGATTGTACGGTAGTGCCCGGTGCCATCCAATGCTACAACTGCATCAACGTGCATACCAACTGGACTCTTATGCATAAGCTCTTGATCACCATCAGTCATCCATTTCGGAAACTTGGAGGTTGAGCTTCCAATTCTTGTTGAATTGTTTCTTGGTGGTTTGAAAGGTAAACTATGTAATTGAGTGTACATAGCTAGCACATTGGTGATAAGTTGTGTAACTTGTTTTAGACTTCCCCTGATGAAATTCTCAAGGCGCCGGTCTGTGCCTTCAAACCCTTCAAGGCAAGTGTCTTGGTTGCTCAATGCAGCACTCAACCAAGCTTTTAGGTTTCCTTGATAGTCAGGGCTCGTTGCACCAGCTCGGATCATTTTCATTTCAGCTAAGGACCAGGCAAGTTCGGAGACCGAGAAGTCTAGGAGTTCCTTGCAATCTTCAATGGCTAGTTGTTCGCGGTAGCTGATAGACAAGGAGTTGAACTTTGTTATCATGTCGATGGTTTGTCTTGCTTCATTAAGTGAAGCTCTAAGAGCTGCATGCAGGATTGAATTTGGATGTGGGGAGCCTGTATTTTGGAGGGCTGTTTGCAGATTTGATAGGCATGAGTCTTGGTTTTCAACATTGGTGCAAGCCAGTGTAAGCAAGGCTTGTGTTGACAGATTTTGTTGAACTGACGAGGTGACATTAGATAAAGCTTCAATTGAAGGTAAAAACAGGGCTAGAATCATAAAAAAATTGGCCAAGGCCATGTTGGGTTTGATGAAAGCAGAAAGGAGAAGAGAAGAGATGTTTCTGAGAACTTTAAAAGAGCATAGATGATATTTTTATATATTAATGTGACGGTATGCGAGGAATGTTTGTTTGCAAAGTAAAGTGTTGCCCTTTGAGGCATAAATTCTTCTCTTCTTGTGCTGTTTTTTAAGTAAAGTTCAAGTTATGCTTGCTTTACACAGCATGGTTCAATATTCCATGCACTTTTCCAGCCATTGGTTTACAGGGTATTCCCCAAATTCGAGCATGAGGTCAATATATATTCATAAAAATTGTTAGTCCTGATTCTAAACTTAAATAGGTTGAAGTCTATAAGTCTATACTCTATAGTATGAACTGGAAACCCACCAAAGAAACCAAAAAGTGAATCCGGGTAACTGCCCTGTGAAGTACCCATATTGATTTCACCTCATCAAACATTAACTTTATAATATTAAGGAAAAGGTCAATTACGAGCCTCACCATTCTCAACTTCAATACATATATAACATACAGGCCATAAAGTTACCTTAAAATTCATCAAAACACACAAGTGGCATACAGCAGAAACAAGGACTGGTCCATTCACTGCCAGCATATATATGTTGTAGACTTGTAGTGTAGTAACTAATGAACCGGAAAATTTAGATGGAACTCCTTGTCCTTAATAACTTAGATCAGTCCCATCTAATCTTGCAACCTGTAGCATGAAGGGCTTCCAATATATCTGACGAAAGCAAGAACCTGAGAGGAGCAATTAACTTGACCTTTTTCATCCGACCACAGCAGGACCATAGTGCGAGCTCAAAACCTTCCCTCGTGCAATAGTTGAGGTGCACAAGCTTAGCGTCCTGCAGGCGAGTTAAATTCCCCATCACCATACACAGCGCCATGCTTGTGAGAGCACAATAGCTCAAATTTATCTGCCACCATCAATACAGCTCATAATTTAAATACTGAATACCCGTGTTTTCCTTTGGTAAGTAAAATCAAGGACTCCAATTAATTACTATTAATAGATATGTCTTATGAGAACAAAAAATGTTTGAAAAGCAAAATCATTTGTTTCAAAGTTTCAACAACAATTTGCCACCGACAGAAGAAATATATTTTCTTTGCTTTTATTTATCATCAAACACTTTGCTGAATAAAAAATTATACAGAAAACTCCAATTTAAACTGATGTCATACCTGTCGTAAATTCTGTGAATAAAAGGCAAGCGCCCAGAAGCCTGAATCATCAATCTTCTCACAATGCTTAAGATCCAAGTCTGCCAACTTCTTACACCCAACTGCAATCATAGTCAAACCTACACTTGTGAGGTTCATGAGCCCTCGCAGTTCCAGGTCAGAGAGTTCCTCCAGGGAGCCTAAGTACCCCATCCCTCTGTCAGTGATCTTATCACAGTATGACAAGTTGAGATTCTTCAACTCCTTGCAACCAGTAGATAAAGCAGCTAAACCATCATCTCCAATACCGGTACATCTGTGACCCAAACTATACAAATCAACAAAAATTTCCAGCTAATCATAATAATATTATCACATTAAACTTTAGGATCAAATTACCGATACAGATCCAGTTCACGAATCTTTGAACAGTTAGAGGCAATATAGAACAGTCCTTTGTCCGATATATTTGTGCAAAGTCCTAATTTCAAGCATAACAGTTTGGAACATCTGGACAGATACTCAAGTGCTGCAGACAAGAAAAGCAGCAGTTTCATGATTAATTAAACTGAATCACGAAATAAAGATGTGACAATAAACTGAATAGTGCATGCAAATTACATTGTCAATTTCAAAGTACAGTATAAATATTGTAAACTAACGACACTTGATGGATACAACCACATAAAATTATGTTAATAGTTAAGCCTTACCTTTATCATTTACACCGCAACAATCTGTAAGATCAAGCTCCTTGAGGAGCAAGCAAAAAGATCCAAGCTGATAAAGACCTTTCTCTGTTATCATGTGGCACGACTCTACCTTTAGGCATACAAGACTACGACAAGAGCCTGCTATAGCAGAAATCGCAGCATCAGTAATTGAATGGCAACATGTTAGATTGATGCTTTTCAAATTAACACAGCCAGATACAAGTTGTATGATGCCCATGTTCGTCACCCCTACACATTTACTCAACCCAATTTCAACCAGAGACTTGCAATTGGTGCTAATGAAATGAAGGCCAGAGTCAGATACTTTAGCCCCATCAACTATGATTGTTTCAAGGTTCTTCAAGTCCTTCATGTTGTAGAGAACAGTCATGGAAACCTCCTATCATAGAAGCCACAGTACAAGTTTAGTATACCCTGTAAATGTTGAAAAAACTGAATACATCACTATCTAGTTAAAAAATTTACTCACCGAAAAACAGTAACCTGCCTTCAGCTGCCGAAGACCACTGTGTCTTCTAATTACAGAGATTACGCCAGATGAACTAACAGATTCACACCTCGATACATCAACCACCTAAAGCACATAAAAACTATACATGATGAGAATTTTAGTCCTTAGTTTCACAACTTTTTAACTTGCATGTCATCATATTTCCCAAATCTACGCAAACAATTTACCAGTAGGGAAGGACATCCATTTCCAAGAAACTGTAACCCAATGTCATCCACTAAGGGGCACCCCACCATAGCCAAATCCTCCAGGTTAGGCAAAGTAGAAATCGAACAAAGTGAATCACTCGTTACCTGAAATAACCCTCAGAAATATGAAATTTCATTTATAAATAAATATGAGTATACTCTTACTCCAAAAGTTAGTACTACCAATAAGAACTTCAGCAAATTTGTACTTTCTCAAGCAATGTTTTCCCATCCACAAACAATTTCTCGGCAACCACACATAATATTTATCCATAAAACACAAACAAAACTCTGAAGATTATCCTATATCAGCATGAATATCCTCCGCTCGATTGCTAAGAACGCCAAAAATACTCAAAAGAATAACAATGTCAATTAGAAATAGAACAAATTTACCCTTCCTCAACTAATGTATCCCATGCACAAACATTTTCTTAGTAACCAAACATAGCATTTATTAATAAAACACAAACAAACCTTAAGATAGGACAAATCAAGAAACTTCAAATCCTGACACTTCTTGCACAAAAGATCAATACCCAGATCACTTATCTCCAAACACCATTTCAAGCTTAACCTCTCCAAGTTCACACACCCAATTGCTATCTTTGCCAATCCAACATCTGTCACATTCAAGCATTTGTCCATCTTCACCTCCCTCAACCCTCCGGCACAAGATAAAGCCGCGGCCTCCCGATCCCCAAACCCACAACAATATGACACGTCAACACTCTCTAAACATACACACGCCATTGCAAGCATCTCTAAACCTGTCCAAAAAAGAGGAAAAAAAACTAAACTATAACAAATGACATAACAAAAAGGGTCTCAAGAGTACAAAGTTCCAAGTTCAAACCTTTGTATCTCAACGCGGTGGCACGACGCAGGTTGAGAGACTTCAAGCTCTGAGCCCAGCTCAGTGGATTACGAGTGCGACTCAGTAACAACGAAATGGTTCCGTCGTTAACACGTGGACACACGGAGAGGTCCAGAGTTTTAACATTTGGGTATTTCTCTAAAAGCTGAAACAAGAACTCGATACGGGTGAGCCGGAGAGTTGACCGAGTAAGCGAGTCAACTCGAAGAAACTCTTTGCAAACGAGTCGCCACGTCTTGGCATCCAACTCATCGCCGATTTTGCCGCGAACTCGCACGAGTAAATCCTCCGTGAACACATCGAGTATCGACAAACCTGACATTAAACAGCTGCTCTGCGGAAATTAAGAAACTTTTCTCACTCTTTCTTAACAAAGTTTCAAACTTCTACAAATTCGACAAAATTAAGGTCTCCGGGTAATGCTTTTTCAGAGAAATCGGGGGTATTATCGTAACTTTCACGGTATTTTCTCGTTTAGTTTAGGTGGGGACGAACAGGAAGAGGAGACGGATGTAGAAGAGAGGGAGGTCGACGGGTTTGAACTGGATCCGTATTATGCTAAAACGGGTCTCTTGGATCGGGTTCATTGTGCTTTTTTTAAGTCCGATAGACCGGGTTTTTGGGGAGAAGATCGGAGATAGTTATGGGGGAGTTGCAGAGAGAGTTTTCCAAGCGATTTGTAGTTCGTTTGTGAAGGGAAGAGGAGAGATGGAGAAGATAAGAGCAATAATTGGGTGTGACGAGCACCAAAGTTATAAAGATGCAGAAGAGATATTGATTGGTTTAAGATATACACTGACCCAGTGAGTATCACGTGATGGTTTTTGTCAAATTGACTTTTGGAATGTGGGAAGGGTTTGATTGGTCGGTGTGTTGTGGTGTTTGATAGAGTTTTAATATTGGACGATTTGTTATCTCAAAGGGCCAATCTGAAATGAAGTTAAACAATGACCAAATTACCCCTCTCAAATTATTCAAAAAATTTACTCTTTTATTTCTGGTTTTTTTTCTTTTTCCGAACTTTACAAATTTAAATCCAACCCAATGTAAATTGGGGAATGTAAAATAATCAATGGTGTACATTCTCATTTTCAATCTTTATCATTATATATGGTTTATACTTTGTATAGTCTGATAGTATTGACTAAACTTAAATGGAGTTAGGTTTTTTATATAGTATTTGTAACGAGTAATACTAGTTTTACAAAGAACATACAAAGGAGGCATGCAAAGACAATCTTCACCCTTGATTTTCATGATTCTCTCTCTCTCTCTTTCCATTTTTCTTTTTCTTTTTGTTTTTTTCTTCTAATGATGCCACTTATAACTCTTTTTGCACAGGTCTTGTAAGGATTCATTTTCTTTGGTAATAAAGAGAACAAAAATAGAAAGCAAGGTAAGCTATCATAATTACTTTATTTGCTACAGCTTTCTGATACTCAATAAAAATATTCTTTAAATGGCAGGCGTAGTTCTTATTTAGAAGAACGAACCAGATAAATCGTGTGTCTTCTTATTATTATTATTTATTATATTATATTATTGTGTAGTTTTGACTGGGTTTCAACAAACACATGTATGGGTAACTCAGATGGTTAAAGTAAATTGAAGATAGTATGGATAGATGTATGATCTCAGTTTTAATTCCATTGAACATCTGCGACTTAATTCAGTGTCGAACACCTTAGTTACCAATATATAATATATATATTCAAGATTTTTTTTTTCAATTTTTAAGAACTTAACCTAGCTAATAATCCCTAGAAAACTATAATTATAATCCATTAAAATTAAGTAGAAATGAGTTTTTTTTTTTTTTTTTGACAAATTAGTGAAAATGATGAATAGAATTTTAGAAAGTGATGAAAAAGGGGCATTTTGGGAAATAGAGATGAACGGAGAAATAGGATGCGAAGAGTGAGGAAGAAAGGAGAGGGTGGAGATGGTTAAGAAGCGTAGGATGGGACACGTGGAAATATGGTACGTGGGTACAGAAAGTACAGAGAATCTTGTGAATTTCCAGGAAGGCAACATGACGTGGCGTGTTGTGATTGTGATTACTATATTTTGTACGGTGGTGATGGGTGGGACCTATAAACGTGCAACCACCGTACATCCACTAAAATACCTTTTCTCAAGTTATATGAGCATCACATTCCACTCCAAGTCAAGATGCCTTTTTCATCATTCATTCGATTCATCGTAAAGAAATTACTAAATTACCCTACATATTTGTCAATACATTTTTTTTTTTTTTTTGTGTTACAGAGGTGTTCAAGACCAGCTTACGGCACTTTAACTATCTCTCACCTTCTGAACAAGATCTCAAACAGGACAAGCCTATAGTCTATAACCACAATATTACAACCGTTATTGTGATTGAACCTGAGACCACAAGAGAAACAAACTTTTGGCCTAAGTCTTCACACTCAGCCAACCCATTGTTGGTTTTTGTCAATTTTATATAAGTTATTTTACAAGTTTCATGTTACCAGGTTATAAATTTATATTGGTATGTTAGTGACGTATTCAAGATTTTCAGATAGTGGATTAAAACATCTAAGTTGTAAATTTACAACAAATTATTTATTTTTGCGGATATCATGAATTTAAGTGAGGTTAAAATGGTAAATTCATAAATATATTTTTTTTTATGTTTCTTTTTAACTACGTCCTAGATATGTGGATACACCATATACTTAACAAAAATCTAGACCGATTTTGACTATTATATGTATTGTAATTGAATTTATCTAGCATATAGTAAAAAAATATAGTAGACCTTTGAACGTGAACATTATCCTCTAATTTATTAGAGTGGATTTAAAGATAAATAGGAGTACGTTATCGATAACTAATTTAATTCTTCATGGTGAGTTAGGTATAGGTATTGAGTTTGTGGTTGGTAGTTGGTACACGTATTAAAAGTTTGTGTTGGAATGGGATTTATTTCATACACCCACTTATGGCATTTCTGAAAAATATTGAATGTGTCTAAGATTAAACGATCTCGTAAAGGGTGTATAGAATAAGCTCAATCAAAGAACCTTCAAGTGTGGGAAAGTGAAGCATTTATCAGCCAATGGTTTTCTGGGTTCATTCATTATGTCCAATCAAAAACTATGTGCTGCTACCACTTACTCAAAAAATTAGTTGAATCAAACTTTTTTAACCACATTAAATGATCTATTAAATGTTCCTAATATATGGATACATGAAATCAATTGCATACTATTGGGCCAAAAAGGCATAGTTGATAGCTATGACGCAACTTGATTCGTAACTTATTAAGCGTTCAAACAAGTTTACATATACTTCAACTAATCATCGAGAGAAAGCAGCATAACAATCCATCGTCACAATTAGAGGTGTTCAAAAAAATCGATTAGAACCAGAATCGACGGGTATCTTGGGTTTAGTTTCTGTTCCTACCCAGAACTAGTCGTCAATAGGTAAGTTCCGGTTCTAAATTTTTTGAACCTTAACTGTGTAGTTCCGGTTTTGGTTCTTATAGTTAGGAACCGAAACTGGAACCAGGAACCGAGAACCGAGACTAATATAAAATAAAATTAAAGATTAGGGGGGTTAATAAAAACTTTTGTAGAAAAAGTAATGTGAATACATTTATCTTTATATTTCATAACATTTAAAGTAAGTTGGTTTGACTTTTGAGAATCTACCTTTACGAAGTAATGGAGTTTGTAATTTTAAATTTATAATTTGTAATTTTATTTTTGTTAACAAGTGCAGATGGGGGGTATTTGTAAGTTTTTAAAGGCTTTTTTCTATTTTAAAAACTTTTGGGGGGTCATGTAATTTTACAGGGTACCCAGAATCGGAACCGGAACTGTTATTACAGGTTCTGATTCTGAGTGCCTAGGAACTGGAACCGTCAGTTTTGGTTTTGATTTCGGTTCCTTCAAAAAGTATAGGGTATCCGAAACCAAACACCCCTAATCACAGCCCCCACTTAAATCGTAGATACTCAGATAAAGAATCAAACCTGAGATCATCTATCTATCTATATTATCTTCGATTCGTTTTAATTACCTACGTTGATCATACAACGTAATATAACAAAAAATGATTGGTTGATTTTAAATTAAAAATAAACTAAAGAGTTGACTAAAAGAAGTATAATGACTGAAGTGAAGTGGCTTCCACATTAAAGAGGAGCCTTTTTCTTTCTCTCTTGCTGGGGATGAGGGCATCTTTGAATATTTTGATCCCACTAGTGTGAAGGATCTGCCATTAAATCAAGCCTCAATTAAGTGGGTTTCTGCAACTTTTGAGAAGCCCTTAACGTGCAAAGTGCACATGCAAGGTCAAGTTTTTTATTATAGAAAATGTGCAGGAGCATATGCAAACTAATGGGCCATTTCTGTATAAGAATATACTGATACAAAAATCATATGGAGGAAGCATCTCATGAAATGATTCCTTTCTTGTACAAGTTGTCACCGCCTTCGACCAGGGAGTACCTGAAATCCGGTTGCCTGGTAATGTTGTCGACTCCACGTGCCATTACTTGGTTAGCATTCCAATACCAAGGTTGAATGTACGGTGAAGATCCGGCGGAGGAGAATGATGAAGGATGAAGGATTACAGAACCCCAGTCTCTGGCTCCGAGTTTTGCTTCCTTCAATCTTCTCCGGATCAATAAACTTCCTAAATCTTCCTTTCTTATTTCGGATACACTTCTGAGTATAGAGACGCATAAAAGAAGTACCAAAACCGCATCCTCTTCCGGCAATAGTTCTATAACCAGTAGCTTCCAATTCAATAGAGCAGTGACTCTTCCAGTCGGGTTTTCTTCTGAGAAGCGAATGAGTGTCACAAAACCCTCGTCGTCTTCCTCTTGGTCTTTACTTTGTAGACCAGTTTTCCCTTGATACTGCATTTTCCGACCTCTCAAAAGTATAAGCTGCAAATAGACGATGTTCTGCCTATCAAACTGACTGTGCATCAAAATATTCATCGTTAAAGAAAACAGGAATTACCACATTACCGATGAGTCCGGAGATGTTTGATTAATCAGAGTAAATTTCAAGCCTGATGTTGTTGATGATGATGATGATTCCCAACTTATCATTAATTCATCTCCTGTTGAAAAATGCCATGCTGCTTGACATTGTGCTGTAGGTTCTTTTGGTGTTGCAGTTCCTAACACTTTCTCTGTACTAGATGTCAACAATAAAAAAATGTTTAAAATTATGAAGTCTAAAGCCTTCGACATGACAGTAACTAAAATCCTGCAACTAAGAATGCCACACCAAACTATTTGGCCTAAGCAAAGATCAAAGAATGCCACACCAAACTATTTGGCCTCAGGCAAACCGAAAATCTAGACCGATTTTGACTATTATATGTATTGTAATTGAATTTATCTAGCATATAGTAAAAAAATATAGTAGACCTTTGAACCGTGAACATTATCCTCTAATTTATTAGAGTGGATTTAAAGATAAATAGGAGTAACGTTACTCGATAACATAATTTAATTCTTCATGGCTGAGTTAGGTATTAGGTATTGAGTTTGTGGTTGGTAGTTGGTACACGTATTAAAAGTTTGTTGTTGGAATGGGATTTATTTCATACACCCACTTATGGCATTTCTGAAAAATATTGAATGTGTCTAAGATTAAACGATCTCGTAAAGGGTGTATAGAATAAGCTCAATCAAATGAACCTCTCAAGTGTGGGAAAGTGAAGCATTTATCAGCCAATGGTTTTCTGGGTTCATTCATTATGTCCAATCAAAAACTATGTGCTGCTACCACTTACTGAAAAATTAGTTGAATCATACTATTTTAACCACATTAAATATGGATACATGGAATCAATTACCTTACACATATTTTAACTAATCTTCAAATATAATAACCTATTATTATAGCCTTTATTTAAATTATAAATACTCAGATAAAGAATCAAACCTAAGATGTTTACCTATCTTTATTATCTTTAATTCGTCTTAGTCCACATATCTTTATTATCTTTAATTCGTCTTAACTATCTATATCTATCATACAACGTGATGTGATAAAAGGTGTGATAGAATTAGAGGTGAGTTTAACTCATCACCCAATAAAACCTTGTTGAATATGAGGATTACCCCTTCTTATAACTTAATAGACTTGAACGTGTCTAGTCGATGTGGGACTTCAACACTCCCTCTCACGGTCAAGCATATATGTTGGATCATGCCTGTTATTAGAGGTAGTTACTGGCTCTAACTCCTAATCCGTTAGTCAAGCGTTTAGCTCAATTGAACCTGAATTCTGATACCATGATAGAATTTAAGGTGGGTTTGACTCTTCACTCAAAAAAGTGTTATTGAATGGGAGGATTATCCCTTATTATAACCTAATAGGTTTGAGTGTGCCTAATCGATGTAGGACTCTAATAAGATGATTAGTTGATTTTAAATTAAAATAAATTTTTTTCTAATTTTCTTTTACTATATCTTGTTATATAAGAAATATTGTATAAAAATGTAGTTGGAATTCCCATTAGATTAATCTAAAGAGTTGACTAAAAGAAGTATAATGACTGAAGTGAAGTGGCTTCCACATTAAAGAGTAGCCTTTTTTTGGTCTCTCTTGCTGGGGATGAGGGCATCTTTGAATATTTTGATCCCACTAGTGTGAAGGATCTGCCATTAAATTAAGCCTCAATTAAGTGGGTTTCTGCAACTTTTGAGAAGCCCTTAATGTGCAAAGTGCACATGCCAGGTCAAGTTTTTTATAATAGAAAATGTGCAGGAGCTAGCATATGCATACTAATGGGCCATTTCTGTATAAGAATATACTGATACAAAAATCATATGGAGTAAGCATCTCATGAAATGATTCCTTTCTTGTACAAGTTGTCACCGCCTTCGACCAGGGAGTACCTGAAATCCGGTTGCCTGGTAATGTTGTCGACTCCACGTGCCATTACTTGGTTAGCATTCCAATACCAAGGTTGAATGTACGGTGAAGATCCGGCGGAGGAGAATGATGAAGGATGAAGGATCACAGAACCCCAGTCTCTGGCTCCGAGTTTTGCTTCCTTCAATCTTCTCCGGATCAATAAACTTCCTAAATCTTCCTTTCTTATTTCGGATACACTTCTGAGTATAGAGACGCATAAAAGAAGTACCAAAACCGCATCCTCTTCCGGCAATAGTTCTATAACCAGTAGCTTCCAATTCAATAGAGCAGTGACTCTTCCAGTCGGGTTTTCTTCTGAGAAGCGAATGAGTGTCACAAAACCCTCGTCGTCTTCCTCTTGGTCTTTACTTTGTAGACCAGTTTTCCCTTGATACTGCATTTTCCGACCTCTCAAAAGTATAAGCTGCAAATAGACGATGTTCTGCCTATCAAACTGACTGTGCATCAAAATATTCATCGTTAAAGAAAACAGGAATTACCACATTACCGATGAGTCCGGAGATGTTTGATTAATCAGAGTAAATTTCAAGCCTGATGTTGTTGATGATGATGATGATTCCCAACTTATCATTAATTCATCTCCTGTTGAAAAATGCCATGCTGCTTGACATTGTGCTGTAGGTTCTTTTGGTGTTGCAGTTCCTAACACTTTCTCTGTACTAGATGTCAACAATAAAAAAATGTTTAAAATTATGAAGTCTAAAGCCTTCGACATGACAGTAACTAAAATCCTGCAACTAAGAATGCCACACCAAACTATTTGGCCTAAGCAAAGATCAAAGAATGCCACACCAAACTATTTGGCCTCAGGCAACATTCTTGTCATCTTGAAACCAGAATAGACACAACATAAGAAACTGAAGCCTTAATGATAAAAGGCTTTTATAAACCAGTAGGTAGGCTTGGGTGTGCTTAGTCCATGTGGGACTTCAACACTCCCCTTCACGGTCACGGTCAAGCTCATATACGGTCAAACTTATATGTTGGGTTATACATGTTAATGGAAGTAGTTGCTGGTTCTAACTTCGGTGTGGGACTCCAACACTCTCCTAATGGTCAGGGTCAAGCCCATATCACGATCAAGCTCACTCATCAACCGCTGGTCAAGCACTCAACTCAACTGGGTCTAGCTCTAATACTATGATAGAATTTGAGGTGAGTCTGACTCCTCACTCTATAAAGCTTTGTTAAATGGGAGAATTACCCCCTCTCATCAACCAAAGGCTTGAGCGTGCCTAGTCGGTGTACGACTTCAATACTTAAATCTAAAACTTTCCTAGATTTTCTTAGGATCCAAACACTTTCAATGAAATTCCTTGACAAAAAGATTTTCTATACAACATACCAGGTGCTTTACCGATGGAACCGGCAACATAAGACCAAGAACCTTCCCTTATCTCTATAACTCTGTCCTCCCATCTCACAGCTGAAGGTTTATCTCCTCCTCTTCTCCAAAATCCTCCTCCCACCCTGAAATTTAATTTCAAGTTTAAGTTACAGACAGAAAAGATCTTACAGTTAGAGCTTTCATAGTAATCAAAATTTAATTTCCTTCTCTGTATATAGTAAAGGATCAATTGCAGGAAAATTTTACCTCATTCGAACAACAAAACATTCTCTTCCTGCATGATCAAGAACAGTACGAGACAACCAACGACCTTCTTGAGGTCGATACCCGTTTAATCTCAGGATTACATCAGATATCATAGCTCCTGAATCATCTGTGACTCTGTCAGGCACACATTTTAGCAAGTATGGAGCTTGAACTGGAGGAGTTATCGAAACAGAAACCTGGACTTGTTCAATTTCTCTTTGTACTGTAAGTGAAGGTGCTCTCAGTAAATCATTCCAATGAAATGTTATAGCACCTTTTAATGCACTTCCCCTGAGGCAGTAGCCACCACGGTGACGAAGCTTAAGTATTAAACCTCTGCTTCCAAACTCACAGTAGAGATGCCAAGCTTTTCGCCATGAATTGTTGGAGAAACTGGATAAAGATTTATCAACCTTTAGTTCCCTGTGACATCTTACCATCCGTAGACGCATAAAATCATGTCTTATATTCTCTTGTGTTGCCTTTATTTGAGACTTGAGCTTTAGAAACACACAGACCTGCAATGTAGAAACCAAAATCAATTCTGTCACGAGCAGATTGGCTCCAACTAAGAGTTGCTTTAATGTCAAAAATGGAGCTATCTTTCGGTGGTTCAAATTCTTATATTTTCAGATCCTATTAGAGGATAAAGCTTTGATGAAAATTTTACAAGAGTACTGGACTTGCCTCAAGTAGGAACCTAGGCACCAGGGATTTGTATTTGCTATTGACATCCGTTTCTGATACATTCCAGTAAACTGGAGGCTTCACTGAGGCTGTACCATCCAATTCCAAGGCTAGCCCACCTCCGGCTTTCTCATAAGGCTGATCAAAAGTTCTCTCCCAAAGTTTCTTAGTTTCTTCCACCTCTTTTGGCTTCACAGTATCCCACACTCCCACCACCTTCTTCCCCATCTCATCCCACATGTCCTTCAAGTCCTCCGCATACACTGTGGGGTAGCTCTGATTGATTCATTAAGAAAAAAATAATTGATCAGAACAAACAGAATAATCAAACCAGAAAAGACAATACAAAGGTCCAAAAAGAAGAAGAAAAAGAAAAAGAGTTTATAAAAGCCAATAATGGCGAAGAAATTCAACCAACCAGATGGGTGAGCCACATGAGCTGAATATCAAAAGCAGGAACAAAACAAGAACATTCATCAGTGAACTTGTCCAACATGAACAAAAAGCCTTTGTAGCGTTGTCTGGCTGCGATCAAGTACACAATCTCACACATGTATGGCTCAGAAAATTTCGAGTATAAAAATCTCTGCTTTTTCACTTCAGTCAGTATATCTTCATTTACAATAACTACTGGGTTATCTGAAGAATCTGAATCCACTTCATTCTCAAAAGGCTCAGCTGGGTATCTGTTGATCCAAATTTCTTTGCATCTCATCAATGCATACTCTTCGTTTTCTTCATCGAAAATCGCTGGTTTTCCAATGAGCTTCGAGAACCTTGACTCACAGTATTGCCTGTAACTGACCTGAGAAATAATATTGGTAACTTCTATATCATTAAATGAGTGCAAGATTGTGTTTGGTTGCTAAGAAAATAAAAAGAAAAATAAATGACAAGTGGGAATGAAATTGCTCCCTGTTTTCTTAATTACTAAACCATGCATTTGTTACTTTAAGCTTAAAATCAAACGAGTTTCTATCAAGGCTTTGATTTCGTATGAAGTTGAATATTACTGCTAATCAATCCGATATCCTGAAAGCTTCTATATCAACAAAGAATAAACCAACATACTTAAAGCTCTAATTAACTCTTAATTACCAGTAAGAACACTAAATAGAATACAAGTGAACAAAAGTTCAGCAACCATTAACTATAATTAACCATAAGTGATAAAAAAAAAAAAATGGAGCTTTGCACTGATTTTCCCACATTTTCTTAGCAACCAAACAGAATGTTGACAGAAAATATTAGAGTGTAGGCATCTAGCTAGCTTACCGGATTCAAGGTGTGACAAAACCAAACCCACTCAATATCAAACGGAGGAAGAATCCTAGCAGGCGTTGACCCCACCGTTAGATCACAAATCAACGGCATCCACAGCTCATCATACCTGCAAATTCAATCCACGCATCCACTCATCACAGTCCAATCAACTTACTTTTTCATTACACATAAAATTATAATAAAAAAAAAAAATTCAAAACTTTATCACCTTCTAATGGCTTCAACAACGGTTGCTCTCTCATGAAGCCACTGGGACTCATTGACAGTCCTCAAAAACCCGATATTTCGCCTGGTGGCCGAGACAAGATCCACACCGATTCTGATGGTTGTTTCAACTTCCGAGATATCGCTGAGAGTTCTTGGCGTTAAGTTGTCAGAGATTTCGGTGGCAGCCGACATCATTGGAGAGACCGTGAACGTGAAGTGGGTTGTGACGACTTGTGTTGTGTTACATGAAATGTTTATGTTGTGTTTCGAGTTTAATTAATGATGATGTCTGAACCTGAAACAGAATTTTTGTTTGGTTCGAAGAGAATAATATCTATACGAGGAAGAAACAGCGGGTGTATAGAGCTGTTAACGTGAGAAAATCTGACCACGTGGCAAGTGGGTTTTTGTTGGGTTGTTGAAGAAGAACTTGGCTAATCTTTTAACTTTAATCATTCTTGTATTTAATCCATAATTTATTTAAAGTTCTTTTAAACAGACAAAAAATAATTATCTTGATATATTTATTTATATGAAAATAAAATAAAATAAAAACTATTTTTAGTGCATCGATATGATAAATATTTTCTCGATTTTGTAATTAAAGTGACTGAATCAACATAGTGTTTTTAAATTAATTTTTAGAAAAACTAGCCAGCAGTTCACCGTATCTCTCACTTAGTCATCCACATTATTCCATTTCGTTTAATCATTTGAGTCACAATTCGATGATTCTTTACTAAAAAACTACAATTTAGTTTAGGGCTTGTTAGTATCCTCAAATTTTTTTAAAATTTTGGTCTCCTTCTATGTATTATTCTTATTCTTAACATGAACCATATTTTTTATATCAAAATTGGTACATCGCTCAAATTAAGCTTAGACAAATTTGAAGCAAGAATTTACTTAGTTTGCTTGTGATCTTTGTAAAAGCTACTTAGAATCAATTCGTAAAAGATGAGATTACTTGTTAAAGGAGAAACTAAAAAAGCCTGAAGCATCCTTCATTCTCTCTTAAAAGTTATGTAGTTAAATTAAAAAATTAAATAAAACTAAATTAAGAATCGAATCGGGTGCGTTTGTTTTAGTATTTTGGATAGTATTTTTGAAAAAGTAGAAATTGGTGGTAATAACGAGTTAAGATTTAAAATTAACAAAAATACTCCTATGTTTATTATTTGCTAAACAACCTGTAATAAAAACATTAAAAATTACACAAACAACCCACCCACCATTAAATACGGCAACTGGCCATCACTGAGGAGGGTGGCCGGATCGCCATATCGGCGTGACGACCAACTAAATCTAGTAGTCGTGCGTCGAGATGACCTTTTCCAACCAAATCCACCATAGATCTGTCACATTTGGTTGTCAACGACAGCCAAGATATGAGGGTTGTTAACGACTTGCTATAGCAGATCTTTGGCCATACAAATCTAAGGTGGATTTGGCAAAAAAGGTCATATCGGCGTATCACTAGTCAGATCCAACCGGTAGTACACTATTATACCAGATTCCAGAATCTGGTAAATGTGGTAGGTGAGGGGTGTTTTGTCCATTTTAAGTTTTTTTTTTTTTTTTTTGTTTTAGTTAAATAACAAACTTAAGGGGTTTAAAAATAATTGAATAAAAATATATAGTATTTACGAATAGAGAAACAAATGTATATTTTGGAAATAATAGGAATAATAAAGGAAAAATAAGGAAACCAACGCACTGGACGATATGACTGCCTATTCAAGAAATAAACGAGACATGAAAAAAAAGATCCTAAATCATGATAGTTTATCCAACATATATAATCATTCACTAAATCACTTTCCAACCAAACAAAACATAATTTTATACTTAACCTTTTATCCAAGTTATTTATATATAGTTAAAGCGATAGCATAATGGGTTACACCAATGGTTTGATTTGATAAATAGTTTATGTTAAAATAGTCCAAGCCATTGTGTGATGCGTCCACTAAACAAGTGGCCGAGTAGGATGTTGTCCCTAGAAGCACTTATAAAAGAAGCAATAGTTGTCATAATCCTTATACCAATCATGCACTCACCAAACAGGCCTAGGCCCACCCATGATGTGTCACCCATAGGTTTCTTTTCTATTTGTTTTTGTCATTTTTGATGATCATTCAATTTTTGGTCCTACTAGTTTGGGACCATGTAGAACTTTATTTATTTTATATCACCTTAAAGTTTACATAAATTAAATTATTAATGACAAAAAAATTCTAAGATTATAATAATAACATAGATTCGGTTTTTTTTTTTTTTTTTTTTAACAAGGTGTTTAAATCGATTTATATATCTTGATTAATTGAAAAATTAGCTGTAACAATTCAACCTCACGATTCTCACTTAAACTGTAGATAAATCATCTAGGTTACTTACGAATGGTAATATTGGTATTAAAATAAGATAGAGATATTAAGTAAATATTTAAGAGGGTCGAGATAAAAAATGTGAATTAAATATTCAAAACTTTTGACTATCTTGAAATCTAAAGATCTCTTGGGAGATCTTGATGATGTCCCATGATTTAATATGTAATCTCCATGATCTAGAGGATATTATTAATAACCCCTTTTTACAAGATGATAATTCTTTATTAATTTGATGATGAAATTAAAAAGATTGCAAAAATAGTAGGCTTGGTTTGAAGGAGTTGGGGTAAAGTTTTTTTTTTTCTTTTTCTTTTTTTTGTTGAGTATAGGTCCGAGCGTACTTAACTAATCTTCCGAAACTCAAAGTTAATGAACAAATAAATCTCTTTAGTGATCACTCAAACTCAAGAAACATAAACTCTTTACTCTTTTACCGTTAGAGCCTTTGGTAGCTATGGATTAAGGGTGGTTGTCAATAATTTCCCCGAAAAAAGAAGACAGACTTTATATTATATCTTTGATAAGCAAGATTTCTTTATCATTTGAGAATTTTAAGGGAATTTCTCAATCAAGAGCAAAAGACAAAAAGACAAAGCAATCCTCTCATTTCCACCACCTCTGAGAGAATATAATGCACAATACTGTTCATGCGTAACCAAAGTGATCATTCCTTTTGCTCATGTTCCAGAAATCTGGAAGATACACCGTATAGAACAATCTGGGAAAATAGTTTAAGATGGTAGCACAGAACATTACAGACAAAATTCTTTCATTGACTTCAACTTCTGCTACGTGGATTCATTCAGAACAAGGCATTTTTCATTCATAAAAAACGATTCAAACGTGTCTGATACACAGTGATTCCAGGAGTAGGTGACTATCAGAATTTCTTGATGGCATACTTGTCTGCATTGTGACTCACATAAAACTCATTATAGTTATCTTTGACAAAATTTCATTCCATGGCCAACAACATTGACAAAAAGTTACATTTGATTGATACAAGCGCTGTGTTTTACTAAAGAATGTACAACTTTGATATGTAAATAGTAAATGAGAAGTATGAAGTGTGAAAGAAGCCTTCATCTTGGCACAATGGAAGAAAAGGTCCTAAATATTCTAAATTCCTGGAAAAAATAGATTCAGAGAAAAGCATGAAGGAGAGAGTTAAGTTCAAATGATATGTCAGGTGACGATACTCATACGGCAATCAAATTTGCCAGCCGGATATAAGGATGAGTAAATTACTTCACTGTAAATTGCTTGAGATTTATAAAAATACATTCAAAAATTAAAAGCATATAAAAGGAAAATATTTTGATGGTATTCAGCAGGCATCTGATAATGCAGAATTGTAAATGCAAATAAATAACATTAGAGCCTCAGAATTGCAGATGTCAGCAAGGCTTAACAAGCCACTCAGTCCCGAAAGATGGTATTTTGTGAATGATATCCCTAGGCCACAGTTCTCAACACCAAAAACTGAAAAAGTACAAGGAAAAATACTAATCTTACTACCAGCCTATATGAAAGGAGAAAACTAATACAAGAAAAGTAAAGAAACAACAAACGGCCTCAGAATTGCAGAATGTCACCAAGCTAAACAAGCCATTCAGTCCGAAAGATGGTGTATTTTAGAATGATTTCCTCCTTGGCCACATTTCTTCTCACAAAAGAGAAAAAAAAAAAAAAAAAAAAAAAAAATTGCAGAGAAAATGTTTGTCATGGCCAGTCCCAAATGGTAAAGGCAACAAACGCTGCCCACAAGGCGATGGAATATGAGACCACCCATCAACGGAGGAGCTCCCCATTGGGAGGACCATCAACGTCAATGGACATTTATCTGTGACGTTTACTTTGAATGTACATACATAACTGGTTTGCCCCAATAAAGTAAAGGATTTGAGTAATCCCCCGTCACAAAAATAAAATAGAAATCATCATCACAACTAAACATATAACAGAAATTACAACTAGAACATTAAATATCACATTAAAGAATATGTAAAATCTATTCTTCTATGATGGTATAACAAATGTATGTCTCATGGCCAGTCCCAAATGGTAAACAGCAACGCCACTCACAAGGCGATGGAATATGAGACCTGCCCACAGATGGAGGAGCTCCTATGAGGAGGACCATCAACATCCAGGGCATTATTATGACGGTTACTTAGGAATCTACAAACATAACTGGTTCGCCCAGTCAAGTATTGGACTTCTATAGAAATCCCCGTCTCATTACCAAAAATTATTTATAAACCGCTTACAGTAATCAACAAGTACTAAGCAATCAACATAAACTAAACATTCAAATCAGAAATTCAATCACAATGTGACACTAGTAAATTATTGTGTACTAAAACTAAGATGTTATAAACATACCATTAAGTGTATCATGTGTATGCGTGAATACAGGAATAACCCAACTACGCCTCAGAGTGCTTGCCACAATACGCAACAAATTTAATCAATAGTAACACTCATTACAAATTTTGTCTTACATAATCTTAGACAAAACTCAAAACAAAAGGGAAGAATGTTCCTCAGAAAATAACAAAAGAAGTATTCTGTCATCTAATATCAGAATTAGCATGGTCAGTAATGAAACTCAGGGAACAGTCCCTCTCAACAACATAAGCACATAAATCTTCACAACAAATAGAAAAAATCAATTCTTTTCACACTCAATTACAAACAAACCATGTAACAACCTACATTCAATTTTTCAGATTCTGTTCACATTGTGCAAACAACACCTATAACACAAAATAAAACCAACATAAGAAACAAGCTCAATTGTAGCAAACAAAAGCAACTTTTTCAAGATTTCAAATAAGCCCGTGAAGGAACATTCAAAGCATCCAAGTTCCCTCAGAAAAAAAGTAAATCTTTCAGTCAGAGAACAATCAGATATACATTAGCATGATTATTTTGAACCATCACAGGGAACAAATAGAATAACCCAGATGAAAAAATACAAAATACAAAATACCCAGATACAGAAACACGTC